ATACTTTTTTTTGTTAAGTTTTTCTTCAACAGAAATCGCATTAATTATACTTATTTGCTGAGGTATTAGCTTACTTTTTATGCCAGCAGTTATAACATTACTCGATGTTTTATGACTAGAATTTTGTGATTTTTTAAAATTACTTATTTCATCATTTTGTTTCCGAACAATCTCTTCCAAATATGCAAATTTGGCTTGTAATTCTAACAAAATTTCTTATAAAATTGCTGTTGTTGATTTTCCATTTTTACCAGAAAGTTTTGTGATGGTCATTGTTAAGAGGATTATATAAAAAAAAAATAAAACAAAAAAAAAATAACAACGATAATATTGTAGCGGTAACTTAAATGCAAGAACGTATATCGTAATCTTATTTGGTATGGTTATCGGCATGATAGGTTCAAATATATAAATCTTTGCACTTTAAGAAATGCTGCCAAACATTAGTATTGCTTGTAAATTCTTGAAAAATCATTTTAAATTGGCTTTTTAAAAATTGCTTTGATATAAAATAATGCTTTTAAGTGTAAGCAGATTAAAAAGCTGTTGTCGCAGGTTTAACAAAATTATAAAAAGTAATATTTTGTAAAAATACTTGGGAATCGAATACCCGAAAAAAATACCCGGGTGTTCGGATTCGGATCTTGGATCCCAATATGCCCTAATTTTCTGTCCATCTCCTTAAGATTCACTGAAATATAGGTTTGAACTGCGTCTTAAGGCGTCTTATGGGGGTTGTTTATTTTGAAACAAAAACTTAAATTGTATATATTTAGAAGCAAGACATATTTTTAGAGAGTTTAAATACGTCACAAAACATTGAAATAAAACTAGTTTAATATGTTCAAAATTCTTTTAACAAATAAATCAATATTTTTATAATTATCTATGAAGCATATAATTAAAAAAAAATTATTTAGGGTAGAGTGGGGCATATAAGGACACTTAAATAAAAAATGCTAGTTGCGGATAAACTAATCATAGTTAACACTGTTTTTTATAAATTTCCTTAAATTCATTAATATAAGAAAATGAAAAAAAAAATTAAAAAAAAAATTAAAAAAATTAGTCATGACAACCAAAGTAACGAAACTCTTGACTAGCAAAACTTTCACATTTTGCAAGTAGGTGGGGCAAAATGGGACAGTTAAAAAGCAGCAGTTATTATTCGTTTTTAAAGCTTCAAAAGTGATGAAAAACGGAAGCTATTTATCGCCTAAATATGTCCAGACATTAAACTCTCAAAAAAGTAACATACCCATAGAAACTACACGCCCATACACCCATACACCACAAAAAACAAATTACAGACTATTAAATGATACAATGTTGAATTTGTGGAATGAGTTCAAACAAACAACTGAGTTAAAGTCAACGTCTTATAGCACATTTTGCAAATTAAGACCCTTTTGGGTTGTTCAACCAGACTTTCGTAAACGAGATACTTGTCTCTGTATTGACCAAGAGAATTTCTCTTTGTTTCTTGAAAAGTTGTATAGTCTTAAGATGTTGGCATATAAATATCCTACTGACTTGCTAAAAAGTATAACATGTGACGGCGAGCTGAGAGAATCATGCCTGGAAAGGAAATGTGGAGTATCCATTATAAACAAAAAAATAGTTTGTAAGGAGTTTGAGAATGATATAAATGAAAAAGTAACATTTCCACAATGGTCTAAAAAAATATTGAACTTGTGGTAATAGATAAAATGAAGACATGTTTTAAAATTGCAAAAGAAGAGTTAACATTAACTAAAAAAGAGCTGTTTTTGCATTTTATTAACAACTTACTGGAAAAGTTTATGAAGCATGTATGCAATATAAAACACCAGTACAAAGCTATATCAGAAGTAAAAAATAACTTAGGGCCTAGGGATATTTTCATTCATTGTGACTTTTTAAAAAATTACAATTGCAAATACTTAAAAAAAATCCAATCACTCCACTTTGCGGATCAAAAAACCAAGTGTCAACCCATACAGTTATGGCATACTATTGTAGTATTTCTGAAAACAAAATAAAGGCAAAATCTTACTGTACAATTTCAGATAACAGGCGTCATGACTTTATTGGAATCTGTGTGCATTTAAAGCCTGTTATTAATGACTTAAAAAAAAAGCTGCCTGTCATTGAAACAGTTCATTTCCTTAGTGATAGTACTTCTCAACAGTACCAAAACAAGTCCATGTTCTATTTGGTTGGTACTTTTTTTCAAAAAGAGGTTAAAGCTAAAACTATAAGGTGGCATTTCACAGAAAAGGGGCACGAAAAAGGTGCCCCTGATAGAATAGGAGGTTGTATCAAAAGAATTGCAGACAGATTGATTGGACAAGGGAAAGATATTCCTGATATTAATTATTTGGTTGAAGAAATAAAAGAAAAATGTCCAAGTATAACCATCTATACTATTAACAGCACAGATTTCAATCTCTATAAGAAATGTGTACCAGAAAACCTAACAACTTTGAAGGGGACTTAACAAGTTCATGAGGTGGTTTGGAGTTCCACTAAAAAAGAAACATTGTATATGAGAAGGCTGACATGCACTATATGTGACAATGATACAAAATGCAAACACTATGGTATTGGAGAAGTACTAATCCCTGAGAATTTTTTAACGCATCTTTATCCTAGTATCCTTTTAATGTATAGCTTTTAGAAAGTTAAGTTTGCTTATATTGAGTATTGTGTTATATTGAACATAATATTGAATATTATATTTGCTTATATTGAATATTGCAAACTTTTGCATTTCTTAAATGTTCTTTAATTATTTAGTCAGTAAAAATGTTTGATTAATATTTAGTTTTTCAGTTACTCTAGTATTTTCATTAAAGATTAAAATAAGCTGCGCATGAAATCTTTATTGTAAAATAGTTATTTAACTTGTTTCTGTTTCATTAATAATTTTTTGTGCCTCTGTTTTAAAAAATTTCTTAACATGGTTTAGCAGGTGAATAATTCTTAAAAATGAAACAAACGCCAGCTGAAGAAACAAAATCCAAATGTTTGGCTCAAGAATCTTGAGGACTAGGTAAATGTGAAAAGAAATTGAGAAGACTAAGTAACCACAGTGTTAACAGCAATAATGAGGAGGACAGCTTGTCTATTAAAATCAATGATTTTGTAATTGTCAAGTTTAAACATCAAAAAAAAAGAAAGTGAAATACTATGTTGGGCTAATTCAAGTCTTAGTTGCAGATAAATTTGTCATAAAGTTTTTGAGAAGATCTGGCCAGAAATTTTTTTTAACGTTTTAATAATTTTCCAATCGTTGATTCCTGCAACAAGCTTAGACTTAAAAGAGTTAAAGTAACTAAAGGTCATTAAATTTTACAGTAATTATTGCTATTTTAATTGTTTTATATGAATAAAAAAACTGTTATAGTTTTATATTAACAGTGAAGTACTATATCAAATAAACTATTTTATTTTTATTTATTAATAAGTAATGTTTTGAATCTGTTTATGGTATTATTATTGCCTAGATATATATTGTAATCTGTTTACATTTATTCTACATTTTTGTTTTTACATAATTTTGTTTATATTTATTTTACTAAATAATTACTAATAGATAAAGAAGTATGTGCAGGATTTAAGTTCACGACTAAAGAGGACTTCAAAGAAGAATGTAAGTAGTTATGTTTGTGAATAATTTTGTTTCTCTGTGGATTTAACTTTTCTTTGTTTTTTATATAGTAAAGAAAAAAAAATCTAATATTAACTATTGGTCAAAGCTGATTTCAATAATACAGTCTAAATTTTTTGACTTGTGGTAGTTTGATTCTAGTATAAATTTATATGGTAAAGTTCTGGTGGATCAAAGATCAAGGAATGATTTGGCTGGTTTGCATCTTATGAATTCATAAGACATAAACCTTTTAGGTTTGATTTTGGAACACCTCAAATATTTTTATAGATTCTATTTAAGAAGCGTTTAGGCTACACAAAAACTGTAAAAATTAAAATCCTGCAGGTGGCACATTTTTAGAAAAAGCATTTAAAGGGGGCGGCCCTATAAAATTATCATGTTAAAGTGAACAAACTTCCAGAAACCCTGCAAACCTTAAATTTTTCATACTAATACTAATATCAAATAATGATGTTCTGCCTAAAAAAAAAGAAAAAATTATTTTGGGAGCATAGAAAATACGTCGTACACCGAACGCTTTCGGGGCACCGACCCCAAACAGGGCAAATAAAAAAAATTGAAAAATATTTTTGTACAATCTTATAGTAAATGAAATTTTATTCACAGAATTCAAATTTTAAAAAAATATATATAACAGTTCAAAAGTTATGACGAAAAAATGTTTTATTCCCCCTCCCCCTTGCAAAAAAATGAGGAGGTTCTAAATTTTACATGACCATAACTTCTAAAGATAAGATAAGACATAAGATTTTTTTAAGAAACTTGAAATTTTATAATGAATTTCAATTTGGTATAAGAAATTACAAAAATATTTTTCAAATGCACTTGGCCCCCTCCCAATTAGGGCAGGTGGCCTCAAATTTTTGGGTTTAATCACAGTTATTTTTTGGAAACAACTTTTTTTTTTATAACCATATAATACCATGTGACTTTGTATACAAAAGATTTTAGCCTTTAAAATGTCTAAATATCATAAGCCCCTTTATTTTTAATAAACATTTTTGTTTAGCTTCACTAAAAGGAATTTAATATAACATAGCTCAATAACTACATATTCATGCTGGAAAACGTTTCAGCAATTCGTTTACTTCTTTCTCCGTGCTTCGAGCTAAGGACAGATACATTAAATCTATTTACAACAGGCTTCATTTTTTAGTGCGAGGCTTCTGTTGATTGTTCATTATATCTTGACAGAGAGCAGCTGTGCATATTTATGAAGGTTCCTAAGTGAGAACTTATTGCATGTACTTTCCATGTCACACTGAGGTTTTTATTCAAGAACTAAAATATATAAGTGTATATAAAGAAAATATTTTAAGTAAAAGATGTTATTAAACATAAAAGT